ACTATATTCTGTGGCCCAGGGTTGATTCTGTGGGTGTTTTGTAAAGAAAGGCTCACACATGTGGCCACAAACTCAACACCAGAGGTTAAGTCTCCCGGGAAAGGTGGGCAGGATGTCTCCTGAGAGGCAAGATGGGGACTAAAGGACATACCCTGGTGACCTGCCACAGCCCAGCCCTCAGGTTTAAGACTCATATAACTGACTCTCAGCACACAGAGGGTTGACCCAGGCCCCAGGGGTGGGTTTTCATACAGCCAGGGGTTTAGGTACAACAGGCACCAGCTCTGTCCCACGGATCAGAACTGCAGGCCAGTACAGCCAACCATTCTCGCCAGGAAGTCAGAGCCTTATGGATGCCTGTCACGGCACACGCTGTCTGCAAACAGTGTGAGAGCTGGAGGCCACGAGGGTCTGTGGCACCAAGGGGACCCCAGTGCCCATGAGGGCTGAGCTGGCCATCAGTGCTGGAGTACTCTGTCTTCATGGTGACACACACCTGCCATTGGCTGGCACACTGCTTGGCCACATCACTGTCCTCCTGCAGTGTCGGCCACCTCTACACCCCCTCTGTGGTGCCCTAGTGCTCTCTGCGTGGCTCATGCAGTGAAGTGCACAGAGGACAGTCATATTTCCTTTATTCCCTGCAGATATGCAGTTTTCAGCCTCCATGCCAAGCTGAAATGGCCAGTTCATAGCCAAAGTCCTCGTCTTTATTTCTGTCTTATTCAAATAGTCTTGTTTCCCAATCCTTTTCCTCAAGGTTCTCACTTCTGTTCACCCACAGAGAAATGTCTCCGAACCCCAGCTTGAAATCCTAGCCCCAGAGAATCTACAGTGGAAACTCAACTCGGAAATGCATAAAGCCACAAAGAAAACCAAGCCCAGCTCCTGTCTTGACTGACCCCCTTTTTCTCCCCCAGGAGGAAGCTGAGGAATGGGAAGGCTACTTGCTCCCCGTGCCCCACCCCCACCCCCAGCCATGGGAGCCTATCCACTGCCTCCTAAGGAGGCCTGTGAAGGCTGGGGGGGCTACGGTCACCACTGTGGGCATCTTGAGTCCTTCTCCTCCGGCCCCCACCCTTTCCACACTCACCTGGTAGGCAGCTTGTCTCATGAACTGCTTGGCAGGCTGTTTCCAGATGGCAGGCACCGTGATGACCCATCTGACATCAGAGTTCTCGAACTCTGAACCTGCCTGGTCACTCAGCTCCTAAAGTCATGGAAAATAAATGCAGCAGGTCAGCAGCACAGGCGGTCCCCGGGTACACACCTCCTGTGGCTTCACTGAGAATCCAGGCTTCTCACCACCTCTTTACTTTTGTGGGGGCAGCTGGCCAGTGTAGGGATCTCAACCCGAGACCTTGGCATTACCAGCACCAGGCTCTCCCAAGTGAGCTAACCAGCCAGCCTCGCCACCAACTCTTGAAGTGTCTATTCTGTAGCCTCCTGAACGTATCAGCTTCAGGGAGTATGCATCTGTTTTCTGAACATTCAGCGAGTGGGGAGCTCCAGCCCCTCTCACTCACTGAATGTGACTACAGCAGGAGAGAGGTGCATCAGAGGAAATCTTTTGGGCCACTTCCTAGGCATGTGACTTTGGACAAGTGGCAACCTCTCGGACCTCAGATTCCTTATCTGTACAATGGGTATAATGATACCCAACTCACAGGTGGATGAGAGGGTTGATAACTTACTGAGAACTTACCATGTGTCACTGCCTTATTAAGCACTCTGCATACCTTATCTCTATTTACCCATTCGAGAATTCTTTTAGGAAGGGATTAGAATTGTGCCCCTTTTCTACAGATGGGAATACTGACACTTAGATTGCTCAGTACTTTTTGAACAATGTACAGCTGGCAAAGCCTGGATTTTGACCCAGATCCAGGTCTATATTGACTCTAAAGGCCAAGGTCTTAACTAAACTGTTAGGTGTGGTCTTGTATCTAGAACAGTGCTGGGCGCACATTGGTAACGATTAACAACTGGGGGCAGCTGTCATCATAGCTGTCATCACTGGCATGTACCTCACTGCAAGTCCAGCACCGAAGGGGAGTTTTCCTGACAGGATGGGAAGGATATGAACGACATGAGCTAACCAAGAACCAAGCTGCCTTTAGCTTTACGTTAAGGTTAAACCACATCAGTGGGGCCCGTGTGGGTAAATGGGAAGGGTGGAAGCATCAGAGGTTTCCATATGGTCCATGTAGACAAAATATGTCACTGCATATACTTCTCAGACTCAGTATTCCCATCTGTAAACTGGGGACAATAAAACTAACCCACAGCNGGGGGCAGCTGGCCAGTGTAGGGATCTCAACCCGAGACCTTGGCATTACCAGCACCAGGCTCTCCCAAGTGAGCTAACCAGCCAGCCTCGCCACCAACTCTTGAAGTGTCTATTCTGTAGCCTCCTGAACGTATCAGCTTCAGGGAGTATGCATCTGTTTTCTGAACATTCAGCGAGTGGGGAGCTCCAGCCCCTCTCACTCACTGAATGTGACTACAGCAGGAGAGAGGTGCATCAGAGGAAATCTTTTGGGCCACTTCCTAGGCATGTGACTTTGGACAAGTGGCAACCTCTCGGACCTCAGATTCCTTATCTGTACAATGGGTATAATGATACCCAACTCACAGGTGGATGAGAGGGTTGATAACTTACTGAGAACTTACCATGTGTCACTGCCTTATTAAGCACTCTGCATACCTTATCTCTATTTACCCATTCGAGAATTCTTTTAGGAAGGGATTAGAATTGTGCCCCTTTTCTACAGATGGGAATACTGACACTTAGATTGCTCAGTACTTTTTGAACAATGTACAGCTGGCAAAGCCTGGATTTTGACCCAGATCCAGGTCTATATTGACTCTAAAGGCCAAGGTCTTAACTAAACTGTTAGGTGTGGTCTTGTATCTAGAACAGTGCTGGGCGCACATTGGTAACGATTAACAACTGGGGGCAGCTGTCATCATAGCTGTCATCACTGGCATGTACCTCACTGCAAGTCCAGCACCGAAGGGGAGTTTTCCTGACAGGATGGGAAGGATATGAACGACATGAGCTAACCAAGAACCAAGCTGCCTTTAGCTTTACGTTAAGGTTAAACCACATCAGTGGGGCCCGTGTGGGTAAATGGGAAGGGTGGAAGCATCAGAGGTTTCCATATGGTCCATGTAGACAAAATATGTCACTGCGCTAACCAAGAACCAAGCTGCCTTTAGCTTTACGTTAAGGTTAAACCACATCAGTGGGGCCCATGTGGGTAAATGGGAAGGGTGGAAGCATCAGAGGTTTCCATCTGGTCCATGTAGACAAAATATGTCACTGCATATACTTCTCAGACTCAGTATTCCCATCTGTAAACTGGGGACAATAAAACTAACCCACAGCATCAGAGGTGAAATTAAATAAAAACACACATGGAACGCCTGGCCCAAAGAAGACCTCTGATGAATGCTAGTTGCTTCTTTCCTTCCCCCTGCCCCCAATGTCACGTTCACCAGACAAATCTGAAATCAAACCTAAACACACATGAAGGCTCTTCTGCATTTTTTTTCCTGATGATGTCTCGTTTTTGCTATTATTTCAAATAGTTGTCTTGGATCTGACCCACCCTCTCACGGAACTAACTTCCTCTTTGATCAATAAACTTCTTTTTTTGCCTTTTAAAATTTTTTTAAATTTTCAATTGGAGTAAAAATGTACATACCATAAAATTTATCATCTTGACCATTTTTAAGTGCATAGTTCAATATACATTCAGTAAACTTTTTAAAAACATGTTTTAAAAAACCTCTGCTTTGGTCCAACATAAAGCACCCATTTTTCAATCATAATATTTTATTTCCTTGCAGGTCTGCACTGGGATTTAAAAAGCAGGTGAGTGGTGTGACGTGTGCAGAGGATTCTGAGCACAACGCAGATCACCCGGTGGGCTGTTTTAAACTCCTCAAACAGGAAAAGGGCTCAAAACACGAATGACTTCCTTGGATTGTCTGGAAAGTTTAGAGGAGCAGTTTGCTCCCCAGTGGGTAGAGAACAGCTTGGAAGGAAAGGCACCTGACATGAACTGAGTATCTCATTGTGTCGAGCACTTTCCTGGCGTCCTTTCTTGAGTGACCAGATGGCTTCATTTATGTGTTTCTCAGACACTCCACTTCCATAGATAGTCTACCTTAGCTTATTCTGTTCAGCATGTAATAATCTCCTCCCTTTGAATCCACCGGTCCCTAAAACACCAGCCAGCCCCTTGTGAAGGGCCGGTTCCTATACATCTCCCCAAACAGCTTTTTCTTATGGAACCTAGTCAGGGCATGTTCCTGCTGGGAGAAGCAGCTACCTCTGAAAAGGCAGGTGCCGGCAACTTCCCTAGAGCCTCTGGCTGAGCTGAGTTCACAACCAACCACCACGCTCCTTTCCTCCTGGCAAACTTGAAACACAAGCCAACGTCACAGACTTTCTCAAGTCCTAATTTTCCCCTGGGTCTCCATGGCTCGTCCTCACTCAGGGGCTCCTGAGCACTCTGCCTCTCTCCGCTCCTTCACGTGCTCTCAGACTTGCCTCGACACCCACAGACACACCTCACACGGTGCCTGGGCCACAGCGCTGAGCCCCGTCCCTCTGCCATCTTTGATCTTCTGGCTGACGCAGGGCCACCTGTGTGCTCCTGCCCTCTGCTTTTCTGCCACCTGGAATGATGGGCTCTCCCCTTCTCCAGTTCCAAGCAGGCCTTGGGCTGGTCACCATCATCCTGAACACAAACCAGCCCCCTTCCCCCTCCCATGCCCCTCCCTCTCCTTCCCCTTTCTGGTGGGATCATTTCTTCCCAGGACCCACTCCTTCCCATCCCCAGCCCCCCAGCTTCTTGGGTGTCATGTTCCCTGAATGACCCCACCATGTTCAGAGCCTCATGCACCTTCTTCAGGACTTGAGTCAGCTGCCTCCACCTGGCTTCCCCAACCCTGCAGGCTCTCAGGACCCCTGGAGTCTCCCTCCCCCATGCTATGGTCTGAACATGTCTCCAAAATGCATGTGTTGGAAACTTAATCCCCAATGCAGCAGTGCAGGGAGGTGGGGCCTAATGGGAGCTATTTAGGTCATGAGAGCTCTGCCTCATGAATGAATTAATGCCAGTATAAAAAGGGCTTATGGGAGTGAGTTTGCTCTCTTTCTGACACGTGAGGACACAGCATTCATCCCCTCCAGAGGATGCAGCATTCAAGGCTCCATCTTGGTAGCAGAGAACAAGCCCTCACCAGACACCAAACCTGCCAGCATCTTGATCTTGGACTTCCCAGCCTCCAGAACCATGAGACACAAATTTCTATTCTTTATAAATTACCCAGTCTGTGGTATTCTGTTATAGCAGCACAACAGACTAAGACACTCTGGCACTACCCCAATGACCATGTCATTCCCCTACCAGAAATCCTTTGATGGCCCCAGGAACTTCTTGCCCAGGAAGAAGTTCCTTAGCTTGGCATTCATGGCTCTGCACAGTCTCATCCTGAGCTCAGTGTTCTGGCTCTCTCCCCCAGCCGTGCCCGTTTTCCACTCCCAGCTGCTTGCTTTCCAGAGATGTTTGCTATGCTTCCAGTCCCCTTGTGCCATTCCATCAGCTTCAAGTACCCACCCTCCAGCTGCTGCCGTGAAACCTCGCCCCAACCCACTTCCTACAGGGAGCCTTCCCTGATGCTCCCCACTGGACAGAGTCTCTGCCTCCACCAACACCCAGAGTTACCCCCTTGCAACCCTGACCACACACTGCTGTAGGCTGTGCTGATCTCTACACAGCTGCAACTTGTGTAGGATCCGGTACACAAAAGGTACTCAAAAAAACAAAGAAAAAAAGGTACTTGAATGGACAAAAGTAGTATCATGTTCTCACTTCTTCCTTGAGTCTCTCAGACCCTATTTCTAGAATTCACTAAATTTCTTCTAGTGACCGCATCATACCAAATGCATTGGAAGTTCCCACTTCTTTTTGGATAAAGCTCAGTACATCAGGACTCTTTAACCATCTGATGTACACCCACTCATCGCAATGCCTCTGAGAGGAGACCCTGAGTAGACAGCCGTACTTCACTCCAAAATTAGCAGTCTGTGGCATCCTGAGCCATCATGGTCACAAGTACCTTTACAATCCAAGGGTACTTACCCTACCAGCTTCCTCCATAGGGTCTGGTGTGGGCATAGAGTAGGAGAAATAGCAGCCACCGTTTACCAAGGGTTTACTATGCATCAGGTCCCGAGGGAGGCACTTCATGTCCAATATTTCATTTAATATCATGCAACCCTCAAGGTATGGTTACCTGCTCCCCTCTTCAGCTCAGAAGTGGGTATCAGAGAGATTAAGTACCTTGCCCAAGATCGCACAAATGCTAAGTGTATCTCCTGCCTCTGTTTTTTCTACTGCAAAATAATTCACATATCATAAAATTTGCCCTTTGAAAGTGCACAGTTCAGTGGGTTTTAGTGTAGTCACAAGATTGTTCAACCAACCCCACTATCTCACTTCCTCACCTCCAAAAGAAACTCCTACCCTTTAGCAGTCACTCCTGATTCCCACTCCTCCCAGCCCTGGCACCACCAATCTCCTTTCTGTCTCTATGGATTTGTCAGTTCTGGACATTTCATACAAATGGAGTCATACAATATGTGGCTTTTTGCATCTGGCTTCTTTTGCTTCATATGTTGTTTTCAAGGGTCTTCCACGTTGTAGTACGTATGTATCAGTATTTAATTCCTGTTTATGGCTGAATAATATTCCACTGTATGGATATGCCACATTTTGTTTATCTGTTCATCAGTAAATGGACATGTGGGTTGTTTCTACTTTTTCATAACTATGAATACCACTGCTATGAACATTCATGCATACAAGTGTTTGTGTGGATGTATGTTTTCATTTCTCTTAGGCATATACCTTGGAATGGAATTGTTGGGTCATATGGCAACTCTATGTTTAACCTTTTGAGGAACCGCCAGACTGTTTTCCAAGGCAGCAGCAGCACTGTACCTTCCCACCAGCAGTGTCTGAGGGTTCATCCTGCCCTTCTGACTGCAAAGCCCATGCTCTCTCCCTAAAGGCTGTTCCTCCTCTCCTAGCTAGCAGGTGCAGCAACCCTGGAGATAGAGCTGGCTCGTGTGTCACTGCCTAACACACCACTGACTGGCCATCAGTCCTACCTTCAGTGCCTGCTCCTTAAAGTACTGCAGGGCATAAGCAAAGATTTCAAGGGCTTTGACTTTCTTGCCATTTGCTGCCATCAGGTCTGTATCCATGGTGAGGTCCTGGTAGGGGAAGAGGAACAAACTAGTAAGAAGACAACAAAGGAAAAACATGCCTTCTGGCTTTGGGAACTGCTGCCTGGAGATCTGGGGAATCCTGGTGAGCAGTATTTGTGTTTCCCCATGTTTGAGGAGGCAGACTAGGATGGCACATCCCCCAACACAGGCCTGGCAGTATTGTCCCCTGCTGCGCAGGAGGCTCTGTCTGTTCCCTCCAGGCCCTGCCTTCCCCATTCCCTCCTTCCCTCTCTTTCTCTCTCTCTCCTGGATGCTCTGGGAGCAGAGGTTTTAGGGAAAAAGCAGAGCCCACGAGGGGAAAATAGGCAGCAGGCACCATTCGATGCAATTTACATACTATTTCCACACGTGGACACTCATGGTCACCCTTGGGAGTCCCCTGATGGAGGCTAAGATCCTGCCAACTCACTGCGGTACATGATGCTAAACAGACACAAAGCTTTCATTCCCCGACAAGCTGCCAACCAAGGCACCAAAATAGCAGAGCTCCTATTTTAAGGCTCGCCCTGTCTATTCTGCTGGGAGCCCAGCATCACTGCCTCTCTTTCTCCACCAGAAGCTCAAGCAGCTGCTCAGTGTAGTCCTTGGATGGAGGATGCTCTGTAGAGCCCAGATGCTGGGTGGAGAGAGGTCATTAAAAAATGATGACCAAAGTCCCCATGGAGTGGAAATGCGCAGAGCGCAGAAGAAAAATCAGGAGGAAGCTCCTAAGTCTCCTCAAACCAATAAGCTCATTACTGCCAGGGAAAAAAAAATCAGTGGGGCCTCTGAATTGATCTAGGGAGGGTAATTAGGTTTTGCCTTCGGTGTGAGAAAGAGCATTGAGTTACTAAACTGGCCTTGTGCAGCCCATGGTCCTGTCCTGGCCTATCTGCACATGCTCACCCCTTCCAACCAGCACTTCCCACTCCTGGTGCTCAGCAAAGATACTCCAGATTTTGGGCAGTGGCTCCCAGGCTCAGAAAGGTGGTCGGGCACCAGGAAGCCATAGGCTCTAAATTGAAAAAATTAAATGGAAAAAATTCCTGTGGCTCCATCTGTGCAATCCTGATACTCAGCATCAAATCCCATCAGGAGAAACGGGAAGGATTCTAGCAGAAATCGGTCTGCGTCCTAGAGAGATGACCACCCTGATGAGCCTTGGGAGCCAAGGTGCTGGCTGCTGAGTTTCCTATTAACATTTGTTTCGTGATCTGCACAGACTATCAGCAGACAAATGAATGCAATTATAATTGGCACTAGCAATTTACTAGAATTTACCATGTATCAGGCATGGCTCTAAGAGCTCTATGTATTTTGATTCCTTTAATCCTTTTAACAGCCCCGTGAGGAAGGCACTGTCACTGTCTCCGCTTTACAAATAAGGCGAAACAAGGCACAGGGAGGTTAAGTAGCTGCAATTAAGTTTCTCGAAGTATCAGAGGCAGGATTTAAGCCCA